AATTGATATCACGATTGTTAAAAACGATTATCCATATACTTTGAAAACATCAATTTATTGGAGAAACAAAATGTGAAAAGTATATTTTTAACAGTTTATTACCCAAACTTTAAGTATAATTCAGCTGAAAAACCGATAAAAAAATAATATATAAACCAATAAAAAAAAATATTATATATATTAATAATACAAAAATAATCGTTTTATTTCGATTACGTTGTTTTCGTAATCGTTGCAAGCCATAATCGTAATTGCGATTAATTGAGCAGCCCTAGCTTATGTGTGCATGCACCAACACACACCTCCTCTCCGTCATTGAGAACGATGGTGCCGGCGCGCTCCACCACAGCAAACACCATGACGGCGCACAGCTCCCTCCTCACTGACATCGTCATGTTGGCGAACGCTGGCAGCTGATGCATGAACTCCAGTAATTGCTCTGCAGAGAGAAGAGAGACAGAGGAAGTGAAGGACGAAGAGAAATAATAAGAGTCTTAATACACAGAGGAGAGGAAGAGCACAGGCAGCCTTCAGTTCGAGCCAAAAAGGCACGAGCATCAACACGGATAATCACCACAGTGAAAGCCAACAGAGGAATCATTATCTGGAGCACATAAAAGCAAATATCAATCCCATCGATATACACTTTCAAGGCGAGCCAGGAATAATCGCTGACTCCTCACTCACTGACCTCTGTGTGCGTTTATTAAAGTACACTGCAGACATTTCCACTGCGATTCAATGATTTGATCAAGTTTAAAGGAACAGCTCACCAAAAAAAACTTCTCGGTTACTTTGGAGTTGGAAAGAGTTTGAAAAGGCTTGTGTGAGACAAAGGTGACTATAAGGTCATTCTTTCATTAGCTCAAAACAAAACAGTACAAATCAACAGCTTTACATTCCTTAATTTTCATTCACGGCGATTTCAATGATGTATTATATTTATATCAAAAAGGTATTTTTTCATTCTCCAGGAAGTAACCATGCCGATGTCATTTTCTTTGAATAGTTTGCAGCATTGAAATAAATACGCTTAAGTTTGCAAATGCAGTTATTCATTATCTGTAGATAGGTCTCAACTTGAATAGACTTTTTCTTTTTATCTACACTGTATCTTTGCTGCTGATATGCTGTTAAATGTCCCTGCTGCAGGACATATGAAGGATTTCTGATTCTGATTATCTCAGTAACTGCTTTTGTCTTCTTCATCACTTATGTCAGAAATAACTTTTAAAAACAATCACCCATATCTTGTTTTATTTGACCCACAAACGATGTATTTGGTTCACTATTGATTATGACAAAGAAAGCTTCACATGCAATGTCTGTCGTTTTTGCTGACTCGATGAATCAATTATTCAAATACTCGTTACTCAGGATAATCCGTGGATTTCACAGTGAGCAGTTTTCACGGTGACATGTTCTCTCAGTAGAAAGTTATTTTAATGAAAACTGTCACAGTGAGATTTGTAGAACAAAGAGCGCATCCCAAAAGACAAGTTGCTGTTCATTTCTTTCTTCTCAAACGTTGTATCCATTGTTTCAAGCTGCATATACTAAATTATTTATCCTGTCCTTTGTACTGGAGCGGTGGCACATATTTCAAAGCAGGCACGGCATATCAAACCAAAACTTCTGTACTGTATGTGCACGGTTAGAAAGTAAGAAAGAATGTTGGGTATTTCGGTGAAGAGCATTAATAGTCGGTATTTCACTGGGTGTGTCGCCGAGGAAAAAGCTATATGTATATATTATTAGGGCTGCACGATATTGAAAAAATAGATATTGCGTGTTTTTTAACTATATTTAACCGGATGAAGGATTTTAGTCACGGACGTCTGGATCTTAACTGGTTGACTCATCATACTTTAAGTCATGATCTAACATGTCATGATAATGCATGTTGCTTACCCTCAAATAAAGGGGTTCATCTTTGAATGAAGAAGAGAAGAACCTTTTTGTATTCAAAATAGTTCCAGAGGGCAGATGTTGCTTTTCTTGTTGGAAGTAAATCTTCATTCTCGCCGGTATTGTCCTCCTGTGCCTCGTTCATTTTTTACCGGTGTTTTGATGGTCTGCTAACTAGCGGGGCGGGGCCTGCTGTGATCTGATCAAGAATGATTGTGATTGGTGGTTTGCTGTGCATGCAGAGCCTGCATGTCACTCACTCAAGTACCCCTGACATCAGAGTAACGCCAAGGCACACTTTCTAGCAAGCAGCAACATAATTGTAACATGACGTGTTTGAGTTAATTTACCTACTTAATATCGAACGTACTAAAAAAAAAAAAAAATAATAATAATAATAAAAAATAAATAAATCGCACGTTCCTGCGATGTGAATAGCGCGCATGCTCATATCGCGGTTATCGCCATGACACGATATATCGTTCAGCCCTAATATATATATATATATATATCAGGGCTCTCAAGTTTTGAACAGAGTTCAGAGTGAGATTTTGGCAGCGGTGTTTGGTACTCCAACTT